ACGTTGTCTACCAAGCTAATTAATCGGAGCGCTAACGTTTAGTTCTCATTGCTGTGTGCTAATGTCCCAGCTTCCCAGCATGATAAGTAGCCAGTATCGAGTTGGTGGAACCAAAAGTCAGAGTCTCGACAGAACGGGAGCCTTGAGCCGCAGATGCTTGGATCTCCAGACACGGCACATCTTTAAATCACTGACATTAAGGAGGCGAGAAATGGAAAGCTGCTAAATTACGACATCCAGCAGACATGCAAAGGACAAGGACAAGCAGAGAGGAGGTAGGGGGACAGTTAGACAAAGAGTGCGAGGACACAAACGAACGAACATACAGTGACAGAGCGAGGGAAATGTCGTCAGCAAAATTAGCTTGTGCACATCCGAGCAAGAGTCAGAGTGCATGTGTTCGATGTCCCTTTGCCAGAGGCCTTTGTAGGTGTGCACCAGCATCGGCAAACTCAGACAGCAAGATAATGCAACTGAGCATACTCGGGTAGTATCTTATGCTATGCTATAGTATACTACAGTAGATGGTAGCAACCACAGCATAGTATATGATTGTATTATCTCCCAACAGTTGCTCCAGGCGCCAAAAGGCGCAAGCACATGGTCCGTGATGGCCCGTCTAATCGCTCTGAAACTGGTGCCCTTTGACACCGTCGTATTTTGTCGGGCGGCCCTCCCAAATTTCATAGAAAGGGTCGGTTTGCAAGCCGATCCTTAGCATCGACACGCACGGAGTGTCTTCAGACCCATAATATCATAAAGGCTCCGACTCAATGTTCTGCCTTCGAGCGTCATAACCCCATTGGCGACGATAAGAACTGCCACCAGCGGCTCCACGTACCTGCAGTGCCGACATGCGTTTCGCTGCACATGAGGCAGCAAGACATCCACTGACCAAAAGCTCCCTAGCAGCTGTGTAGAAGCCACCCCCAGCCGCAAGCACATCCCGGAATGCAAAACCCTGCTCGGTAAAGGCGAGTGACATGAGTGGATGCAGCGGTTCCGGGGGTGCCGCCAGATCGTTAATGCGGACCTCAGGACTTCCGGACTTCTCGGAGCTGGTGAGGAATGCGTGATTGTCGAGTGGCCGCCACACCGTGAACAAAACACATGTTTGCTTCAGGGGAACTATAAAGACCCCGAGCTGCACATTCCTAGATTCTAGATGGCTACACGCTTAGGAGGCTGTAGTAAAGAGGGCAGCCCATCCTAAAGCCTGCACCCAGCAGTGCCCAGCGGCGAAGGTCAGCTCGGCAACTAGGCGGTTGGTGTCACCAGCCAGCAAGATCTCGCGGATCGCCTGGCTGGAATCTTGCAAGCTTCACTTGTTGGTGAGGTGGTGCGTCCACTTTCAGCCTGATCATCTGGGATAGTTGCGAGCTTGGAAGGCTCCATGTACCAATTTGAGCATGGGAGGCTAGAGGATGCCATAGGTTTGTGATGCGATTATCCGAATTTGCCGCACGGGCTGCTGCAAGTTTGTGGTGGCGACAAACTCTAAGCAGTGGAGCCCTCGCCGCATACTGCGCCGGGCAGAGGGGAGAGAAGCTACGGAAGATCGGTGCCTGAAACTGCTTGACTCCAGTCTGGCCAAAGATGCGCTTGTGGATTTCGGAGTCCTTCGGGGCACAGAGGCAGCACATAGGGCAATGTGATGCCACCAGGATTATGACCGGGTTGGTCCGGGGGTCCTCACTCGACAGCTCTGCAGACTAGCAAGTACCCCAAGCAAGCCCCAACACGAGCGGCAGTTGTCCTGAGCCAAAAATAGCTCCATCCTTGGTCCGGTCAAAGGCTGGGGAACCTATGGCAAACACCTGAACCAGGCCAGCCTCAACAATTTGGCACGGAAGACACGAGTCTAAGACTGCAATCAGGTCGCAGTGCAGAGGCGGGCACGACGTTGAAGGTGCTCACGGCCTGCCATCTTGCACTTCACTGTGCTTGAAACATCACGCGTCAAGCAATTGTCCGGTCGTTGACGACTACGAACCAGAGCTGTGGCCATTTCTGGCCACTGGAAGTGGCTGGCCGTGCTTGCTTTGTAAGGTTTTGAGTTCTTAGCCGTGCATACCCTGGCTCCTTCCCGGAAGCCCTAACATTCCGCATCCAAGCCCCAAACATTTGCAAGACAAATTCCATTCTATCTCTTACTTGTCCTATTCTGCAAAGCAACCTGGCGCTTGAGGGGAAGGTTTCCGGTCGTCTGAGCTGGAGATACCACGAGGCTACAAGCAGCAAATCCTGTGAAACAAAGGAATACGAGGCGCTTATAGACTTGCCTGTGGTTCGAAGGCCGTGAGGGAGGCACTCCGGTGGTAGCCCTTGTGGCATGCAGCATCGGCAATCATAAGCGATCAGGGCAAGGCATCAACTCGAGCACTGCTGATGGACAAGAAAGGTAAATTGCACTGAGATGCCATATAATCTTTCACTTTTGGCCACTCCCAAACCGGCTTGCCATAGCGGTCCACCTCATCCTTGGACACGAGGAAATACACATCGGTGAACATGTCACAGCGTGCATGGTTGCAGATTGTGGTTGCCCTGTCAGGTTTTTCACCAGCCAACCACTCGACTCACCCGGCAACTGCGGCGCAGGCACCGCCGTCTCCCAAGAGAAAACAGTCTGCCGCCTGCTCCTTCGGTCGCGGGCCTGAAGAAACGGCCATGTCTTGGCTCAACACACATTGGAGCTTTCAAGGATGAAGGCTTTTAGGCTCCATCCTTCATGTTTAACTGACGCCCTGACCTCGAAACCAAGGTTGATGAAATCCGCGACCAGATTTACCTCGGAGCTCGGAGTAGATAGAGATCTCGTCGGCACATGACCATCATGATCGTTGAGGCCTTTATGCCAAAGCAGACGGTACAGTGCAGCAACCGCACTTCGAGGACTTACTGTTGGGAGGCTCATACGTTCACGGCGAGGAGTGCCCGGCCAGCGCACAGGACAACTCCGTGGAAATGTTGTGGCTTCCAGTGTCTGTGTCATGGTGGACATTCTGGAATCGAGTTCTTTGTTTACTCGGGCTGTGGCCCCGTCATCCGGCACAGCGAATTGCAAAATCTAGAGTCTTGGCGTTCCGCCACAGTCCTGCGATCACTTTCGCCAGCAGGCTTTTCGGGACTCCTTGGTGTCTCCAAATCCCTCCGTTCGGTTGTGCTCCGGCCACACCTTTTGCCAGGCAGATCGCTATGCTACGACCATCATTCTGACGGGTGCGGCGGTTCAGGCCATATTGTGGCCGCCACTTACCTCTGTCTCAAACGCCAATCAACCTAGGCATCCCTGCTGATTCCTGATGCTGCCACAACATGAGCAGTCGTGGTAGGAACAGACACGCTCCCAGTCCCGCCAGGCTGCCATCTCATTGATGTCATCGATGCTGTATCTCGTCAGGCCCAGAGCATGCACAGCATCGTGCAGATTCTTCCCAGACACCAGCTTCCTCGGCTTCGGGTCGCTAAAAGCCCGCAGATCATGGTTCCTATGGTTCCCACATGCCACAATCAGCAAGCCAAACCTACTGCCAATCACAGATCTGAGACCAGCAGGGACCATGCAGTAACGGGTAACGTCGATAAGATGATCTATCCCAGGATCCCTGAACTAAGAAACTCCCATATCTCACAGCAGGCGGCGCCGAAGAAAGCGCGCCCAAACGGAGGCGAAGCCTGTGGCGGATCGCCCGCGCCTCGTCGTCGCTGAGTCCGTTTAGGCCTGCTGAGACGTGACTCCTCAAACATCTCGAAATGCCGCAAATGTTTGATTGTTTAATGTCTGTGTAGACAGCGCATGCACGCATGTGTAAGGGTGAGTGAAGGATACAAAGGATACACGGCGATGATAAAGGAAACATATCGAGACCCCTGGCCGCGTTGGTTTGTGGTTATCGGCCTAAGCACATCTGTCATGCTAGTGCTTGAATGTGAACTGTCATCAACTAGGCACCCGCTGTACCGCTGTAGAAGTATTTGTTGCCGCTGGGTTCCGTCATTGCGTGGTCTAAGTCCACTGATCTCTACTAAGATGGCATAGTTCTTGGGCTCCTCCTGTTTGTAGCTCGTCAATGTGCTTTTTCTCGATGTCCCATGCCTATAACTTAATTGGCATTGTATGTTTTTGGCTGCTGGTGCTACACTACAGTGCGCAGCCTAATTTGTCTGGAGAATGCCTTTTGTTTGGATTGATTTCGACATCCTGTGTTTCTTATTGTCTCTTTTTGGTGTGCACGGGTCGCTATCCTGCGACGGCATGCCGCGGCACTTTAGATCACCCGTCGGCTGAATGCCGCCAATTCCAGCAGATTTTGACAACTTGAGCAATTTCGAACTTACCGAGCTCAGGTTTGAGGGTTCAGAGCGCCGAGAGGCGCAGCATTGGATCTTGCCCGCCGTCTAGTGGAAAGTTTGAAAGGGTACTCGTACACTTCAAACCCGGCATTCTGATCCGTAAACCGCGCAAGCCAAAATCCCACTAACCCGCAGTTTCTGCAGAGTGGGGATTTGTAGGCTTATCAACTGGGCGAGCAGCTGCCGTTGCGACTTGTGTTCTGTTTTTCAAGGCAATGAGGCCCCTGTGGATTCAGGGAGTCGGAGCTTTGAACTGTAACCTATAAGATCAAATAGGCTTATCCTTGCAGCTGGCCACAGCTTAGGTGGCCTCGGCAGGGACCTGCTAACCGCAGCACCAAGCCCTCAACACATGCCGGAGATGCCAGACGTCAGGAAAGCAGGAGCAGCGCCACCCTTAGCAGTAACATGGCTCTTAGATCGAGATCATTTGCAGAACGCTAAAGGAAGTGCCCTCTCTGAGCCTGGATACGAGGCCGTGAGACTGCATGCCCGACGACGTCTCAGACTTGCTCTTGGTGAGTTTCGCTACCTGATCAGCAAGCAAAGTGGGGTTTCGGGCCTCTCAGCAAAACAGAAGCGAGCAAAGAAAACACACTGCTATGCCGCCATGCTCACGGAGGTCCAAGTCTCAGCTTCCATTCCTAGTTGTGCAGTCCATGCAGCCGGGATGCCATTTCCGAGTCCTGACACTGGCCAGAACACGCTTGATTCCGGTGGGCGAATGTGAATAACCATGCTTAACTGCTCGAGTTGCCGGTAACCACGTGCCGGGTAGTCAGCGTGACTGCGCGACAGTCTTACTCCAGACTTGCTTACGCTTGAAACCTGAACGGAGAAATTGCAGAAATACCCTGGCTTGCAGGAACCTCATCCGCAACCACAGCCCCGAAGCCTTCGAGCCCATGAGCCCGTGCCCTCACCTGCAGTGGCACTCCGTCGATAAGGCTTGGGCTGCGAGCCTGTCGAGATCGGACAAGTCAGGTGGAGGGCTGGGGTGCCTGTGTCGGGATCAACACCGCGGCAGAATTTCACCCAAGACTCTGAATGTTTGCAAGTCTAGCAAGATTCTTGGTCCCAGCCGGCACGGGGCCCTCCATGCAACATGAAGTCGGGATCCGTTGCCTACGTACTTGGCTAATGGGCTGCTCGACGGCCGCCTCCAATGCTTGAATCTGGCCGCGGTCATCACCCTCGGGTTGCGAATCGAGTCGGACAACGTGTACATACTGCTTGGATTTCTTCGGTATGTCAGTTGCGGCGAATTTTACCCTCAGATGATCACGCCACTCTACTATGCTTTGGACCCCTCGCTGCTCATTTCCAGCAAGCACCCTCGTCGGGGCAGTGGCAGGTATAGGCCTGGGAGTTCAGGACCGACATTCCTGTTCCGACCTGTGTGCCATTACGGGGCCAGTGCAGCTCGAGCTGCGATTTTTGGCAAGGATGGCACCGTCGAGATCGCCTCCGGGACAGGCTCATAACTGGCTGAACGAGTTGTGGACCTGGCGACTAGCAACTAGCATATCCAGCTGTGGGAGGGGCTTAAGCCCCACTTCGCCTGGCCGACGCTATCGCCGTCGTCTGCGTCTGCAAGGCCTCACATCGCACTCCGATTTTGCAGTTTAGTAAACAAAACCGCAAGATGTTCTGGTGAGTCTAGTGACATCGTGCATCTTTCTGCTCGACCTGCAGAGCACCTGCAATTACTTACCTGAGGCCTGAGGGGCCACTTCAAAACCAGATTTCCAACTACCAGCGTAGCACCCCCATCCAGCCCCCCGCGCCTTCACCGTCCTGATCGACCTTGGATGCGTCGACTGTGGTGTTGTTAACTGCTCCTACCAACGACATGACTTTGCGACCTTTTCGCTACACAGGCTTCACATCCTGCAGTCATGTAGGGAACTGGCTACGCAATGCGAACATCATGTTTAGCGTTATCATGGCACTCAAAAGCAAATCAGCTGCAAGGCTCAACTGCCAGCAACTTATGTGTCATTTCAGAAGTCTAGGTCGCTCTTGTAGCTTACATGTCTCGAAGGCTCAACGAAACTTCCACTCCTGGAGATTCACCAAGATGTGCTTATGCAACCGCGAGACATTGTCCAATTGTGGCGAGATCACAAGTTCGGATCCGTCGTACTCAATCAAAGCCTTCAACAAACGGCCGAGTCTGCAAATCAGCACACCCTAACTGGGGATCTCGCTTGCAGCTACCTAGTTCGGAACGGCTTCCTGAGTTTATCGAAGCAGGTATCAACGTTTTCCCACATCAACAAAGGCTGCAGCATGCGCGATGATGGTTACTGGGATGAAGCCAACACCAAATGAAAGCACAACAAAACATGCACGGATTGGAAGCATGCACGGATGCTGACAGCTTGCTGGGGCTTGAGTGTTTGCTTTTCGTGCCCACCCGAGGCTACGCCGGGAAGAGTTCTTTCCCAGGTCTGCTATGGTGGCAGTACCATGTGCTCGCAACGCCTCGAGGATCTGTGACCGAAAGCTTCTCCAGGCATCCTGCAAACTGCAGGATGGGCAGGCTCTGGCTAGGGTAGGGGGATGCCATGAATGTGGTGGCAGCATGCCTGAGACCCCGAGAAATGATGCATGCCAGTTTTCCCTAAGACCGCATATCAGTTCACAGCAAGAAGATTCCATTCAATATGGGGTCAACATGCTCGTGTTTTGGAGGAACGAGATCTGATGAACGTTGCCTCGCCTGATGTCGAAATCTTTGTGATAGAGCCTTGTACAATGTTAAGGCGAGGAACACCAAGGCAAGCCAATGGGTACTATTTGCAGCGAAAACGATCTGGACACCACCATGCAGATGAGCAACAGGCTCGATCTCGCCTGTTCCGCGATGTCTACTCTTCTTCAAGATTGAACTCGCTTGTGATTGTGACTGGGCTGTGGCTTGCGTGCAGTCGCAAGACACGTGGGCTGCAGTTCTTGCTGCCTCCTACCCTCTGGTAGTCGCTGTCATGGCATTTTGTCTGCTGCGCTGTTTCGACATGTCTCTTTTAAATCGTCGGAGTGGACTGAACTTACAGCCTCGCCAAATATGTATATTCCAAGCCCGAAGACCCCGAGAAGCAGCAACACCGGCAGTACTTAACAGTGTTGGTAGTAGCTGCCATGTTGGAATAACCAATGATACCGCTCAGCTCTTCCACGTCCTCCAAGACTGTCTCCAGTCGTTCTCGCTCCCCGCTCATGGTGCACCGCGGCCTTGAATCGTGGGCAGGCCGGTGCAGGATCTAGGGTTGGCCGGCATGTCAACTCTTCAACCATAAACACAAGAACAGCCGCCACCGCCACCGCCGCCACCACCACCACGACCACGACCACGACCACGATCACCACCGCGACCACCGCCGCCACCACCACCACCGCCGCCACCACCACCACCACCACCATCATCATCAGCATCACCATCATCATCAGCATCATCACCGCATCAACATCCCGGTCATAATCATCATCTTGATCTTTGATCACGGTGTTCACCATCAGCGTAGAAAGGCCATTATGATTTAGCTCGAACTACTTTTCGATCCCTGAACACTTCGACCTTGCAGCAGAGCGCAAAAACCCAGAAGTGCTGTAACTTGCAGTGCTGTTTATCAGCCCGAAGAGGATGCATCCAAATGAGCGGCCCAGCATTCAGCATCGACGACAGACTTTAAAGACAGATGTTACCTAAAGTAAAAGCTCTGTGCATGCAGGACATCATCCGGACTCAAGGGCCAGGAACTGAGCTTTCGGTGGCCCCAGTAAGCAGAAAGCCTTTACGCATGCCTCCTTGGGGCCTCCTTGAAGTCGCAGGGTGCGGCCGCGCCGGTGTTTGCTAGCGCCGATCCGAAGCAGTTTAGACGAACTTGCACAAGGGTCTTACGCTTGTAATACCTGCTCAGAGTTGAGGCATGCGGCCGCGGTTAGTGTGCTCTGCACTCAAAGGCTGGAGGTCCTGTGCGACGTTGAACGCAGCCTCTTAGCTTGTTTGTACGGACTGCAACACACAAGTTGCGGTACTGTGTCTTCTCGGCACGGTTCGTAACCCCCAACAAAACATGCATGCATGAACTTGTCCAGCCACATGTGTATACAAGGGGAGAGATATGGAGATGCACCCCGAAAGGGACTCCTAAGCAGTGTGGCTCCTAGTCGCGAAGGTTCTGCAGGGTACGTGCCTTCTCATGTCAGCTACTGCGCTGCTGCTACAGCTTGAGCGGCACACACCGGAAGATGGACTGTACTGCAACATCCACAAGAGCCCCGCAATCCTAGCTGTTCCGCCTCAAGTACTGAAGCCTGTGAGCAATCTCCTCACCCAAGCAGACTAAAAATCTTTCAGAAACTCATGACCTCGGAAAACAGCGCTCTTTTTTGGCCGTGAGGCGTTCTCCGAGCTTCAGTACCCTCGATAGGCCCAACTTCGCGCACGATCCGTTGTGATAGCAAACACAATGGCATGCAATAGTGGAACGAACGCCAAAGAACTTTCGATCCTCCTCCTCTGCGTCATCATCATCATCATCACCATGATGATGATCATCATCATCATTATCATCGTTATCATCATCCTAGCTAGACAATGATCCCAAACTCGGATGGAAGTGCAGCACAAACCCAATTGGCGAAGCGGTGCTGAAGCACCTTACGTTTACATGTCTGACAGAATGGCCATCAACGGTCTGCTTGTGTTGTGCAGCTGCCAGAACCACTGTCGGACACTTGTAAACTTTCGAACTGCCTAACCATGCAGGCAAACAAGCATACTCTGGATTTCTCCTGTTGCTTAGACTCGCGCGAAATTTGAGAAGCTGCAGCAGGTTGCACTTAGCAACTGCCTGACAAGACCACACCTGAAACACTGGCTGCACACCCGTGCATGCATACCCTATTGATGTGTTGGCACAAGCATCATACGGGCTTGTATCATGTCCACAGATCCCAGAAACGACTCCCTTCGCCAAGATCCGTTTTTGAAGTCTTGGACATGCCAGGGGTGCAGCGCCAAAGATCGATGAACTTCGATGGGAGGGCAGCGCAAGAGTAGACCCACATCTCATCGATTCGTGGACGCCAAGCACATAGGGCCACAGGGTAAACACACAAGACTAGCATCAACACTCCAGTGCCACGGCATTGTCATGATGATGCTCGTAATGATGCTCAATGACAAGAACAGTAGCACTCGCGGCGTTGATGATATCGCCAACTGAACTGGAACCTAACAAGGCGCTGCTGACTGCCACTTCCATCTTGAGCTCCTCTCGGCTCTGTAGCAGATTGTCAGCCACAGGCATCCGCTAAATGGAGTTTATGCTTTCTTGGTACGTTTTGAAGTCATCACGTGACCACCATTGTGTCCATCAACATCTTCAGGATGCAACGTGAATCTATCTACTGCCCTGCTTTCCACAATGCATATCGTCGTCATCACACCAATTATGTACCACATAACGGGTACTCTATGTAGTCTACTGTGAATCTGACTCTGATGTGGCCAGCATTCGGTCACCCGCCCACGGACACAGAGATCGCACGGACTCATCACATGCTTCGCATCTTACTAGTGTCAGGGTCGTTCTTCATATCCCTTCGAGGCTCATGCTCATGGGCTTGTAGTTTCGACATGTGGGCTGTGGCGATGCTGATTGCTACTATAAACACTGCTTTCTTGTGATGATTGTTGCGGTTGTCGGCGCTGTCAGGCAAGCAAAGCAGGCGGAATGTCTGGCCATGTCCGGCCAAGGCCACTGCTGGCGGAGAGGAGGGCCGCTGCAGGTGTGTCGGAAGTCGGAAACATCAGCCGAATCGTTTGGCCCGCAATCCGTGGAGCTACAGAGGCATGTTAGAACATGGCTGCAGCTAGCGGTGCGTGTGTGTGTGTGTGTCTTTTGGTTTAGCATGTTGCCGCCTGGAGTTTAGATGCGCGAACTCAAACGAGGCAGATTCAATGTTGTGGCAGGAAGCTGGTGCCTTTGGCCGGCAGCATCCACACAAAGATCTCCTATAAAGTCGGGGCACAGAGATGCCAAACAGTCTTCCGGGAGATGTAGATGTGCAGGCTGTCTCTGTTGACCGCCTTGTGGCAGCACGCCAGGTAAAGACGTTCTTGCACTCACCGTCAGCTCTTCAAATTAACATGCACTGGTGAATTTCGTACAGGACTGGTCAACTAGGCAAGATGCCTGAACGCCCTTCATGCAGACACGCTCAGAATCGTGGAGATGCCCCGTCTGCAGTCGCGGAGACTGCCCTGTTGGGAAGCCTGACTGTAAGATGGGGAAATTAGTATGGAGTTCATCTGATTCAAGCGGCTTTGACTGCGGGGTGTGTTGCCGCGAGGTATAGCGTACAAGGGTCAAGGGCAGCAGCGACGAGGTTGGATAAGCGAGCTTGCGGCCCAAGCTGACGAGCATACTATTAAAACAATGTCTTTAAAGTGTATCCTTCGCATCACGTCTTTGCCAAGCCCACGTCCCCTGCTTGTGGTCCCGGAGGGCCTAACCCTAAAGGGCCGCGCCTCGCTTCTGCGGAATGCATTTACGGCACGATCTTCGTGGAAGCCACAGATATCCTGGCCAAACGCCAGCGTCCCCGGCTTGCCTTACCTTTAAATGAGAGCCAGGAGATCACCTTTTGTTGCGGGCGCTGTCACGAGATCCTGAGTTGGCAGAAGATCTGTGATGAACAGGGGGTTGACTCAATCCTGCAGCGGCCATCCCCAAACTCTGCACGAACCGAGCCCCATGAAAGTACCGTGCCCCCGTCACCAAACCCGAAGGACGACCTGCATGGCAGGGCTACATTCAAACACGCGTAAATGTTTGTAACACGGAGAGTCCTTCCAGGCTGAAGAAGCTTCAACACCGTGCTCTGAAACTCTTTCTCGTCTGTCCGCAACTCCTTGGCGGCGGCGGCACGAGAATTAAGGATCATGTTTGGAGTTGATCGTTCCCTCATATCCGCGGAAGACAGGAGTATGCCAGTACCCACAAAGGTAGCAGCAACGACCCGTAGTTCATCTGTCTAGCCAGTAGCACGCATTCTATTGCATCACGGCCGGTGCTCCACATGGAACTCTGTGGTGCAAAATCCGTCGCCACTGACTGCTTGTCCGCTAGGGCTACCATTACAAACAAAGCAAGTCTCTTCATCAGAAATGACACCAAGCTTCGACCAATTGATTCTGGATTGCTTTCGTCGCGAGCAGCGTAGCGACAGCATCGCTCTTCTTGACTTCCCCGCGGATCTTTAGCAGTCCCTGAAGGTCAGACAAGAACTGAACACAAGACACTCAGTAGAAGTTGGACGTTCAGGGCTGTTGCCTTTTGCAGGTTCTAGCGCATCCACTGCTTTCGCCTGCTTTTGCTACAGCTGTTTCAAGCTAACGGTGGGTAAGGTGCCTGCACCCATGCTCTGCTCTAATTTCACAGCTGCCCGTGAGACTTGAGGCACAGTATGCACTTTCAGACTTGAGAGGTCAACAACGCTTGTGCTAAGGATCTGATGGCATCGGCGAATCCAGGAGGAGGTGCTATAGGGGGACGTTGCGAGTGTTGGATGCGAGTACGAGATGATCATAGCAAGTGGATGCAGTGAGTGACAGCAGCTGTTGTACTTTCAGACGGGTGACATTGAAGAGCAGCTTTAGATGTGCGAGTACGTAGAAGAACAGGACAAAGACGAGGTGGACGAGCCCGGAGGCATAGGAGCAGTCCAGTGGGAGCATCGTGGTCGTCATCGTCGCAGCATAAGCAGTAGTGGCGGAGGAGGAGAACGAAAAGACAGATGAGCTGGAGCCATAGAGGTCAGAAGTAGCAGCGGAAGAAGTATAAGTGTTGTGACAAACAGTGACCAACACAGTGCAGCCCATGCCTGAACCAACTCGGTGACGTGAAGTGTACCACTCCCGTCAGCATCGATAATCTGCCACAAGGGGCTGACAAGGGGCTGATATGACTACGAGGGCCAAAGTCCATGTCAGCTGTGGATCCATGCACGGACTTTCCCAGCAAATGCAATCACACGGAGAAGCTGCTCGGCTCAGTCCAGAGATGTGCAACGCATTTCAACTTTCCCGTCGCTCCCCCATGCTTCGACACCCGCGGACCTTCCCCAAAACTCCCCGCTAAAGTTGCTAAAGGTACAGTCGACTAGCTTGATGCCTTCCGGAATACTTGAACAAACACATCTAGCAGCAACACAGCTGAACTCTAACCGGACCTCGAACAGGTTCGCACGGTCATGGGGCAGCTCTAGCTCATCCATAAGGAACTGGACGGACTGGTCCTGCACCAACAGTCGGGAGTCACCGAAAGATCTAAAAAGGCCGACAAGCCCAACCCTGAGCAAAAAACCCAAGGCATGAACGAGAGAGACGTGCTGGGTGTTCGTTTTAGCTGCAGTTTCCTGCGCATCTGGCTTGGATGTGGCTGGGTGACAAGCAATCTTGGCATCAATATTTGCTATTCAGTCTAGAGAAGCCCACCCCTTCGAACCACCAGTTACTGTCAGAGCGTCTCCAGATCTCTAGGACCAGCAGCGCCCGATTCTAGTCATGACTGGCCAGCTAGTCTGTTCCGGCTCTCACAGATCTCATCGCAGATCTCGGCTGAGCTAAGGTTGCAAGAGACTGCAGCCCTCTTTGCTCGGCCAGCCTGGATCACGAGAAGGAAGAGCTCCTTCGTGATCGCCTGGCCATGTGGATGCCATACAAACCCTGATCTCAACCAGGACACCTTCAAAGAAGCTCTCATCCAACCAGGGCACGATGTGGCCGTGGATGTCCTCGTCGGTGAAGTTGGACTCCATCGGGCTGAAGTCCAGGTGCTTCTTGTGCGAGGTCTGGAAGAGGGCTCGCGACTCTCCGACGAAGGCCGAAGGAAAATAACGACCCCTTCACCAAAACACACCAAAAGCAAATTCAGCCTAAAAAGACAGTCTGGCAGCGCACCCTCTAAGGTCCCAGGTGGGATTCTGAACCTGGGGTTGGTTTGGAGACCCTGATGCATCTCCACCCTTTCAAGCTGCCAGTCTAGTGACTAGTGTCCAAGCCGCGACTAATCTTTACTGTAGCCACACTTCTTCTGTCGCCTCATTCTCGTCCAAATCCTGGAACTGCCTGTAGGCCGCCGCGAACTTCTTCAAGAGCTCACCTGGGTGCATCAACAGCAAGTGCCAATGCAAGCGTAAAGGATCTTTAGTGTATGATGCGTCAGCGTCATGCTTGTTCTGTTCAGCCTTTGTCGTACGATCGCACGTTCGTGACTCAATCCGGTAGATGCTGGGGAGTCTGAAGCTCAAGACCGCCAGCAGTTTCTGAGAACTTGACATTGGCTCTTTCCAGCACCACGGGGCTGACAGGATGAATGGCAGAGCAATCGAACAAAAATCCCTCCCGGAAGCACTCCTCGAAGCCTTGCTCCAAGCGGCGCGTGGTGCGGGCAATCCGGATGGACTCGCGAGAATGCTGTTCGGCAGTGACCGCCTCCGACTCCTGCGGACGAGAGCACTCTTGTTGAGGGAAGAGTTCAGAAAGAAACCGGCTGCAGAGCGACCTTCCATGACGTTCTTTCCCTGTTCTCACTTGGCCAAGTGAACCCTTCGCAGCTTGACCTTGAAGCAGCAAGCGCCGAAATGTCGAGGGGCCGAGGTGTCAGTGTCAAGTCCAGCTTTCGTGGCTCAGCTCAACGAGCTCTGGTTCTACCCAGCAGTCCTTCGCAGCTCTCATGGTGATGTCCACATAAACCTTTTGCCGGAGAGGCACTGCTCACACGGCTGCATACAAATGCAATAAGGGCTCACGCCGAGGCAGCCTACGGGAAATACTGAAGGACCGGATCCGGTGGTCCGGTGATATGTATCTGCAAAATTACTATACCTCCTCTTGCGATCCTGAATCAAGGCTTCACCTGGACCGTGCCACCAATACCTGAAACTATTGAATGTCAAGCGGCTGCCAAGATCACGTTGTAGATTCCTCAAGCATCGAATAATGTGCTCAGGGAGACCGGGGCACACATGATTGTGACTGCTTAGAACCGTTCATCCGCTGCCGCTCACCCGTTTGATCATCAAAGCCCACGGGCTCCTATGGGTTTTTGTCTGTGTCTCCATGAAGACTAACTGCAATCTAGAATCTGGGCAACCTGATTTTGGGTCCAATTTGCTGCGCTGTCACTAGGAGCAAACACGTTGCCCAGCACACATTACAGTTTCAAGTCTAATGTCCAATCATCATGTCTTCGCCACGCTGCCTGATGCTACGTCCCTAGACTAGCAAACCCTGCCCAACACACGCAATCAGCGTGCTGGGCTTGCTCGGAGACACACTGTGCATCCTGTAACTTCGGAAGAGCAAACCCCGAAGAAAGGAGCCACAGAAAAGGAAGACGAGTCACAAGCCCTCGAATCGAACAACTTGCACACCATGAAACAACTCCATGAGCCCCGCTCAAGAAATCTTAACGTTGCCGCGCTGCCCAACGAGACAAGCATATAGCCTCAGGTATGACATGGAAACATCAGAACTTCGAGGGCTGATTGCAAAAAGGTGCGACGTCGACGATGTTCACCCTCCATTTCCGTTGCCAGATACCACATAACCGCGGGCTCCAGAGAAAAGACGTTTGTGGAGCTTTGTCCAATGGTCGGTGCTTGCGTTTTGACACTGTGACCACGCTATGGGCGACAGCTACATCCCATCACACCGCCGATCGGCGAGCAATCGCCGTAGAGACCCTGTCACGAAAAGCCTGAACTCAGGACTGTGTGCAGCAAGCGATCAGCCAGGCAGCACACCACATAGCCCAGGACGAAAGGCAAACCGTGGGAATCCTCCAGGACGGCTGCAATTGGCAGACCTCGGACAAGCTCACGTGAGACGAGAGGCGTGGGCTGCTTGGAATGTGTCAGGCTGCCGTCCGTGAAGAGAGGACACAGGGTTGACTCCAACGCCCAGGGCGGTAAACGAAGGGCGGACACTCCTGTGTTTCCTCGAAGCGAATGTGCACGGTTCAGCGTTTTGGCGTTACCGCGAACCCAAGGAAGCCAGGTCCCGAAAGGTCAGGGCTGGTGTAGGTTGGAGAAGTTTGACGGCAGTGCGAGCAGGCAGCCTGACGCTGCGAAGCACTCCCCGGAGAAGCATCTGAAAGCTGTGAACATAGACCTCAGTTCCAGCAAGAACAAAATCACCCAACTGACGCCTCTCGAAGAATCACAGTTCTGACATTGTTGAGCCTCCTTTACGATTTCAGTCTTCTTCGCCACCGTGGAGGAAATCTCTCGTCACCGACTCGTCACCATAACCGTGACCATGCCTTGGGCCCTGCTTAAAACATGCCGATGATATGGCATGTGACTGCTGCAAGATTTTCGTCAAAGCAACCCGCGGCCCTTCCGGAGACTTCATATCAATGCTACACTCAAGGTGCGGGGTACTCTCTTCCCTTCATACATAATTAAACCGGTGAAACACTTCCTCTTGTCCCCAGAGGGAGGGACTGACAGCATATATAATCCAAGACAGCTACGTAAGACATCTACGGGTTGACACGAGCTGCGGCTACAGCGTGTTCAGAGCTTCTAGCAGCTTTGAGCACCATACATCCCTGATAAGACGCGCAAATCAGGACCAAGCGCTCACACACCTTGGGGTCTCTCCATCGTGACATGTGAGCTTGGATCGCCCAGCCACGAAGGGATGTTCTGGAAGTGGGTGGTGAGACCAAGATCAGCAACCAGCGAATCCTGCACATTTCACCACAACAGATTTTGAGGGCTGCTGCAGTGAGCGCTGCATCTGTCACATATCGGATCCCCACAGTCAGTCCGCAGACCAATTGCCTCCACTCTTTCTAGTGACAGTACCGCTGCTAGCCTTGCCGCGAGCAATTACTCTGTTCACTATGACTACAAGGGCCATGGATGCTTCTACCCTTACAAGCACGGACTCAGGGTTACCCTGGAGCTAGGTTGGTGCATCCTGTGCCCGATGTAGGCCTAGAGTCAGGCTGTAACCTCCTTACTCCACAGCAAGAAGGAACTAAAGACAAGAGCCTGACTCCTATCCGACCCTGCGGTCCCGACCAATAGTCATGGTGGCGAAGCCTGCTATGACCTCGGGGCTGCAGAGGTTCTAAGGCTTAGGAAGGGTTTGCTGCTTTCCGTTGGAAGTGCTTCAGCAGCTGCAAGTGGCTGCAATGTCGGATTCGATCATGTGGGTACTGACTGCTGTACTGCAAATCGTGCGGAGAATCGAGAGCCAGGGGAAGGCCAAACGGCCCCAGTTCTAGATGGTTGCCATTACAGAAAAGAGTCGCGCAAATTACAAATTTTAGCATTATAGCGCCCGTGCTTACTGAACGTGTACTTTCCAGCATTGCCAGTTCAAAGGTTTCGGCGTCTTAGTAACGTCAACAACAAGTTGACAAGGCAGCACGACCCCAGAAGCTTAGCAAACAATGTGCGGTCTTTGCTTGTCTTCTTCGTGGATCTTTCGAAAGGACAACTCCGCGTATTTTAGCCTCCTTCCAGACATGCCTGCAGCTCTCTCGTGAGCAACATGGGTGTTGTGTACGAGCCACCTATGTACATCTTGTGGACGTTGGCTGTAATTGTCGGTCCCTGGAAACAGCGTCTCGCTCAGTTCACCGCTGTGATGTCCCGGAAGTTGAACGGCTGGGGTCCCGGGCTCATGGTTGGGTTTAGGGGGAGTCTTCCTTTGTTTTGGCTTTCCAGTTGTGCGAAGCCAGACGGATGCTTGGTAGTCTTCGGGCGACTTGACCTCTACACCGTCACTCGCCAAGCTGCGTAGAGCACCGCGAAGAGCAATGCGAATGACAGAAACAAAGTACCTCGACACGCTCAGGCTCATGGGAACGTCACTACTTTGATGGTCATGCATACTACAGAAGTAACTGCGGTCATTCATGCTTACCAATATTTTGGGGCGAATATCAAACCTCCAAATTCTCGTGGCATTAGTATCATCTTCGTCGTCTTCTTACGATGGCGAACATGGTTCGGACCAGGGGGAATATCATGGTCAGTATTTGTATAATTGGTCGTAGTCGTAGCAGTAGCCGTCGTGGAAGAAGTAGCGGTCGTCGCAGCTGTAGCAGGAGAAGCAGAAGCAGTAGCAGCAGGAGTGGAGTGGCAGTAGGAGTTGGAGTACGCGTAGGAGTTGTAGACCTCTAGCTGCAGCAGCAGCTGTGGTAGTCGTTGTGGGCGTGGTAGTGGTGGTCGCTGTCGCAGCATAGCAGCAGCAGCAGCTGGATGTGCTCACTGCGAGTAGAGTCGGGGTCAGTCTGCTCCTGCCGTAGCAGCTTGTAACTCGGAACGAAACGCCGAGCTGCGAAAGCCACCGACGAGGCCCTTCACCATCAATCGGAGCTCCTGCTTTCTTTAGTGCTGCTTCGTATGATGGCAGTTGTGTTGGTTGTATATGGGGATATCCCTGCATGGGGGTGAGTGTAGACAGTCAGGTTGAACGCGTGTTCGGGCAACTGAAAGCAGTTCCGATTTTTCACTTGAATTCCCTCTGCGAAAGAAGCACATGCAGCATACCAGAGTTATCATGCCTCGAACGGCAACCGTCCACAAAATTGAGACAAGCAGACCACATGCCGAAGCAAATGGATGTGCGCCTTCATGTATTTCAGCCGGAAGACTTTGACCTACGGCTTGGTGTTGGCCGTAGAAGGATGGGACTAGTGGGCATACTAGTGGATATGCTGACAAGCCAGTCGAGAAGCTCTGCATCCCGAGGCCGCCTTTTGATGTTGGACTTTCAGTTTTGTTTATTCGAATTTGCAGGAGTATACCTGTCAGTACTACAAGCGTAGACAGTACCTGGGCAACTAAGGCGTCGACAACTCGCACCAGGCGAATGAGGCGACAAAATCTGAGAAGCGAGGCTCCGAAAAAGTCCTTGGGCAACGAGGGATTGTGGGCTTGGGACCAAGCGAGCAGGAGCCAAATGATGGTAGTTTCCCCCCCTACTCCAAGCGAGACGATGCAATCGCCCAACTCGCACACGTTGAGGGTCTGTTTGTCGTTGTGTTTGTGTATATATGTATGTACATACATACATACATACATATATATATATACATACGAGTGTGTGTATATAAATTTACATGTATGTATGTACGTATGTATGTACGTATGTATGTATGTGTGTATGTATGTGTGTGTGTTTGTATGTATATAAGAAAATAGATACCCGTGTATGCTTCAATGAACAGTTGAATGAATGAACGACCAGCATAGTGACTGCATCTATGTGTCCAAAAAGGAATATCCATATTTCTGTATCCAGATATGCATACAGATCTAGTTGTATATACGAGTATATATATATATACATACGTATATGTACCTATGTATGTAGATATCCATACCTATGCATGTATGTCTATATATATGTGTATATGTTAAAAAATGTTTGTACATACACTGTTTGGACGACATGTTGATACACATAATGTCGAAGGCAGTTGCGCAAGCACCAGGTTATAGCCGCTTTCACAGGACACATGTATAGAAAAGCTACTGCCGAAGATGGCTTCTAATCCAACCTGGACTGGTCTGTTTGCAGGGACTCTGACATCTGCGCAGGTGCTCTCTAGGAAGGCCAAGCTCATAAGAAAGTCGTTGATGGGAGCACGACAGTGAACTCCCCAAATCGTGCCTATTCCGTACTCAAGAATAACCTGGCCAGCTGATCATCATAAGTCCTGTCATTGAGTCCGTATCCTTGGCATGGCTACATGAGCTTGCTCATGTTCAGCCCCAGGTTCAGATTGCGCCTGCACCGCAACTTCCACCACGATGTCGGTAAGACCGGTGAATAGAAGGAACAGGTCCTCAGCTTGTGACAAGGTCAGGGAGGTGTCGCACATCAAACCACTGACTCACAACATCCCGAAACGCAAACTCAATCATCTACACCACCCAGGGATAGGGGTGTTTCAACGTGATGCAGTTCCTGGTCTGGGAAAGAGGTTGTGAGTCTTGTGATTGGTCTTCGTGTTCGCGTAGAAGTGCATGTTTGCATGAGTTGCTCTCACCGTGGATTTCTGAAATCCAGCACTTCGTAGGCCTATTCGGCGAAGATCGACAAAAACCTGCCAAGGCAAGGAACGAATAAAACTGTTGCCAAGCAGCGAAGTAATTCCAGGCGTAGTCTGTGCCACAGAAGTAGTTCTGACGGATTGCCGGATTCATCACTGGGTTGTGTCTGCTCCAACCGGTTGAACTGGACACTGTGCACTACATCAAGAACAAGAAAAAGCTCTTTGGAGGGAGCCTCAAACGGAGCATGTATGCCCTCCCGTCCTTCCATCCGGATAGGTGTACCCGGAATGCACATTCAACCACCAGAACCGCAGCAAACACCACCTGGCATCGTCGTACGATTCCCCAAACTTACGCGCGCGACAAGAAGCCATAGACTACAGTATGTCCGGCAGCGAGCACAACGGTAGCAAGACAGCTTTCGGGACCGGAGTCAATGCCCAAGACAATGCTGGCTATTGGTGGGATCCAGAAACTCAGACGTGGATTGGGCTGGGTTTAGGGTTAGAGATGCTCTGCTTGCCTGGAGGCTCACAGTTATGTTAAGCACGCGGGCCTCGAGGTAAATCCATCCACCCCAGTCCTGGATCACCAATGTCAAAGGCTCAGTAGACTTTTTGTGCAGGGCAGTGGCCATTTTGGGCCTTTTCGGAGGATCGCGGACGACACCATTTCGCTCCCACCTTCAAGCCTTTCCGTTCCCGCGGGGCACGTGCAACGGACAACAACCACTCGAATACGACCTGTGATCTCGAATCTGCACCGGTAGAACGATCCATTCGAAACCCTTCACCCGCGGACCCTGAAGCTGAAGGCTTGATATAGCCTTTTGGGACGGTCCTCATACCCAGGATCTGTCTGGAAGCCAATCATGATACCATTTGCCTCAAAGCAACATCGGCAGCAAGACAAATCTCTGTGCACCTCCGCAAACACCGACGGTAGTGCCAAGCTTCTGGCTCCAGCCCGAAAATCTCACCCGGTGGCACGCTGGAATGGCCGAGACACGATGATCAGCACCGCAACGAAAGGTTCGATGAAGATCAGGGGATGGATCTTCTCCTTAGTGCGTACAATATGTATGTGGCGCAAAGGGTCAAGTTGTAGTAGAGCGCTGCACATGACTCACATCAGATTCACGCTCCTTGCCGTCCTCCTCGTCATTCTCATCCTTGTCATCAGCATTGTCATCGCCGAAGTCATCCATATCTATCCGTGCTACTGCCAAACCTCGTACTTTCCATACTCCTGAGCTTGCTGTCATCTCGATCTAAACAGCCATAACTATGCACCAGCATCGCATCATCAACAGCATCAGGATGATCCTGATCGAGATTCTTGTCGTCAACATCACTGCGCTCCATGGTCCTTGTCTACACGCTGGTCCTCATGCCCGGCCCCTCCTCCTCCTCCTCCTGCTGGCCATCATCCGCTTGACTCTGAGCATCATGAACAGACGACCTCGCTATGCATCACAAACCAGCCCGAAACCTGCTCTGCTTTGTCAACAAGTAACCGGCGGCGCCGCCAAGTCGTTGATACGAACCTAAGCTTCTCAAGCTTTTGCAGAGGGTATCAAATACACTCCGTCGGCAGCGGGCACCTGAAGGCGAACCGAATGTAGATCGAGTCCCATGGCAAGTTATCTCATCTTGTCTTGTGCTTCGCACTTGTCGGAAGACTAGCTGAATTAACCCATCTCAACCCCAAACCCTGAATCATGGTTGAGTGTATTGTCGTGCTATGCAAGGCTAGCAGCAAACGTGAGCTCGGCCACAAGCCGATTCGTGTCCCCTGCCAGAAGGATCTCCTTCATGGCCTGTCGCGCGAGCGCTCGGCACGGTTCATAGGTTTACCGTCTCGAAATCCCGCGTCGTCCACCCGAAAGACTGTTGCGGGCAAAGCTGTGAGCATGGCTTCCAGCTAGATGCTCGCGCTTGGACAACTCGGAATACTTTGCTAGAACTGCCTTGGCATGCTGCTTGGAGTATCAGAACCGTCGTCGCAAGACCCACCCCAGTGATCCCAAACGCCGATCACATCACAGCTTCGAAACCACGAAGGGCACAAGCGATTGCTCACATTAATCTTGTTAAAAACGTCTTGTTGCTAAAATCAGCAAGCAGACGTAAGAGTGACGTGAGCCCATAAGCAGCTATTGAACATGTTGTGTAGGTTTGCGCATATGTGCATGTGCGTAGACTGTTTAATCAAGAATCTTGCATGCGGGAAGGTATGTATACACATGTACATGCAGCTTGGCAGATTTCGCACGTACGAAGTCATTCCTTTCGCCGTAATTAACCCGCACTCCGCTGCAATCTCATCTCTTGCCAAAAGCCTGAAGCCAGAGCACGAAGTCGCATAGCGAAGATGATGGCCAGGACTATCAGCACCATTGCCATAAACATCAGCTAGCATCAGGTACTGTTTTGCTGCTGTTCTTCCATATATTCTACCACGTTTGTTCCACCTCTCGGCCTTGCACCTGTCAACCCCCTTGGCCTGAAACTGTGCCATCATCGCATGGCCGAAGACTTTCTTCGGCAACTCCTTGTCCCTGAGGCAGGCTGTTGTCAGCAATGCTCAGGCTGGCTACAGCAGTTCGCCCCCTCCAACATACTCTGTCAATTCATATGCGCGACATGAGGAGGTACAGGCAACTGCCTAAGTGATTCCTATCCCTGACACCAGCTAGCCGGCCAACTGAACTCAGGATAAACATATTTAGTGTGCGTGAATGCAAGTGTGTTGGTATGTATGACATGTTGTATGTATGAAATGTTTATGCATGGGTAGGCCGGCAGGTAGGTAAGTACAGACAGACAGACCCGTTGAGGGCCAGATAGACAGGTGGATAGATAGACAGGTGACTAGGTAGCTAGGTAGGTAGATAGGTAGATAGATTGACAGACAGATAGACAGGCACATAGCTAGACAGCTAGACAGCTGGATAGCTAGGTAGATAGGCAGATAGATGGACAGACTGACAGACGGATAGACAGGTAGATGGTAGGTAGATAACCAGAGATCGATAGATGGACAACTAGACAAACAGAAAGACAAGTAGACAGATGGAGATGCAGTCGCAAGCTGCATCATCGAAGTTTGCTGTCAGATTTGCATGTACCTGGACCTAGCAGATGAGAATCACAAATCGAGGCTGTGACCACTTTTTAGCTCGACTAGTAGTGCTAAAAGCCATAGCAACACCGCCACCACGAGAAACATGAGAATCACCACCACTAAGTCCTCTACGTCTATGGCGATCGCACATACCGCTACGACTCCTGCTCCTCGTCCTGCTGCTGCTAATGGTACGAAACGACGACTACGCACTGCGACAAAAGCAACAACACTGCTGGCAGGAGCAAGTATCACAAAGTCGTAGCAACAGAAACATCACGGTTAACGCCTTCTGTCTCTTGCCACTGCTGGTCGCTGCTGGGCAGTATTGACTGTACCAGTTCAGCCTCATCGCTGCTGCTGCTGTTGCTATTTGCTACTAGCTCCTATGTACTGTTACGTGTAGCCTGTAGCGACCACAGTCGTCGTCACAATCATATATTCCAATGATTTCCCAGGAGCAGTTCGGGCCCCAGCATTGCAAATGCTGGTGTATTCATACATGTGGATGTAGAAGCAGGGCAACGTTGACAGCATCTTAAAGTATGGACGCGCAGAATAGACTAGGGGCTTTCTGACCAGGATGTCCATCAACGGCTTCAGCGGAACGGCATTCATTATCCTTGGTGCTCGCAGACTTCTGTCTACTGGGATTGCGGGCTCAACATCTGCAAAACGACACCTTCACCCGGCAGTTACAGGACTGGGCCACCGGGCCATTTCTGACTTCTCCAGTCTGAATGCTGTAGAAAGATTTAATGATGAGCATCATATTGCTATGTTTGTCTCTGACGGCTTTTGCTGAGGACGTGGCGGCCGGGTCTTCTCCTCCTGTCTAGTAAAGCCCTCACGGCTGCCCTGCAAGGACGACGGGGCATGTAAAGTGTGCTTTTCCTGAAGTGACCGATGCAAACACCCACCAACTTTCCTGACGATCCCTTGCTGCCCTTGCTATCCACTCACAAAGCCGGATGTACACGACCTCGTATCACAATACTAGTGGTGAGCTCCAAAGGATTTCGCATAGATTCTGCCCACGACTGTCTAGCCCCTAGCGCACTTGCGGGCCGTGACAAGCTACCATGCAGCATAAGCAGCCGAATTAAGTCTGCGGCACTCCGCAATCCATTGGTATTAACAAGAAGGCTGGGCACCACAACTGTTTGAAGTTGCTTTCGGGGACTACCAACTCAGCATTCTTTCTTCCAACATCGCCTACCAAAGCCTCGAAGCCTCAAGTCTCCGGAGGTCTCATAGCATCATGTTATTCTGAATTCCCTGTCATCATGAATCTCGGGAGAAATGGATTAGTCAATGGTAGTAATACCTCGGATTAATGACGGTCAGGTTAATGGTAAGGACAAAAAGTAGCAGTTCTTCTCGTAGGCATGGGGTCGCCGGCCTGGTGGGACTGAGTTTCGCCTTCTTGCGGCCAATGCCAAACCTGAGAACATGTGTCCAGGTTTCAGACTACCAGGGATCGGCTATAGGGTTTGGGCAGGATCTCACGGGCATCTCTCGCTGCCGAGTTCGGCCTGCAGGTACCTTTGGGGCTTCGGTTTTTGGGCTTTACCTTTGGAGGGTCTTGGCTCTGTGGGCTTCGCGAAGAAATTCGGATATCTCCTGAGAAGCAGCTCTGAACCGTTAGGTAAGCAGGAGCGAAACTCATGAAGAAGGAAACGCTTGAGCCATGTAGATTATTGGTGCTCTTTCTTGGTTTGGACTCATGATGACGACCTTGACCTTGGCATCGTCGTCATTCCTCTTTTCTTAGCCATTGCAGGAGGAGGCGCAATAATGTCAGAGTTCGAATTTGAGTACTTGCTGGCTCCGAAGCGCTTCAAAGAAGGGGATGCCTTCAGGCTGTGTTTGCGGGCGTCCAGTCATCATTGAATGAAGCGCGCTCTTGGAAATCAGGAAACAATGACGGGTTGGGGATGTCTCACATGCAGCTGAAGTACCGGCTTTCCTTGGTCTCGTGGCTGATCTTCGTCCTGAACGGAAAGCCAGATGTCGACAGATAATCCGGTCCGACAAGATTTGTACACCTGTTTATGTATGCACACACAGATGTGCCTAGTGCATATACGTTCCAGGCATACATACCTACATGCGTGCATACATAGCATACCATACGTACATACTTACATACATACATACATACATACGTACAGACACACATACTTGCATACATACATACATACATACATACATACACTTGCATACATACATACATACATACGTACATACGTACATACGTACATACGTACATACGTACATACATACATACATGCATGCATACATACATACATATATACATACATAAATAGAAATATATATATATATACATATATATATATGACCCCATCTCACCACACCCCATACCACCCCACTCCACTCCACTCCACTCCACTCCACCCCACCCCAACCAGTTTCATCACCATTATCTTCTTCAATAGTTGTTTTATCCTTTATTGTCATGTTCAATTACCACTAATTTGCTTTATCATCCTTTCTATCATATTTCTCAACATTTGTTTCATGTGTATCATCTTTCTCATGCTTGTTATCATCTGTATCATCCTTATTTTATCATTTCTATCATTTTATCGTCTCTTTATCATCTGTTGTATCATCCTTGAGTGTTCAGCACTCAGACCATGGTGTACACAATTATGCTAGGAGCGGTATTGTATCCTGCGATTCTTGTAGTCAGCTCCGTCGCTTGGCAATGCGAGTTGAAAACACGACAACGACATGATGTCTACAGGCCCCGTCGGCTCGCTTATTCAAAAAGACGAACGAGGGAGAAGACAGCTCCTCTACGTCGTCAACGGCAAGAAATGAGCTTCTTTTCCCAATATGGGTAACGGAAGACATCCCCTGGACGGTCCTTTACCGCAGCATCTCAAAGAAGCAAAGAGCCCTTCCAACTTCACGAGAAAGACAAAGCGCTCCGTCTGCTTGTTAGTCGACAATAAAAGAGAGAGAAGAACTCCTTGTCGCCCCCTTTTTCCTTTTCAAGAGATAGAAGAGAGATAACTCTCAAGAAGTGAGGACAGAGCTCCCTTAACCTTCAAACGAGGGGTCTGGTCCTCCCGTCAGCATTCAACAAAAAAGGAGCAGTTCTCTACCTCATCCTCTGAAAGGTCCTCCGGCCTGCAAAGAAAAAAAAGGAGAGCTTCCTCCAAGTTCATGAGAAAGAGAAAAACTCTATCTCAAAAAACAGACAGGCCCCGCCAAGCGGTCGAGAAAGAAGAAAGTTTACCACTCAGTCGGCAAAAAATTTTTTTCTTTCTAAGGGAAAGAGGGCCCTGACTATCCCCGTTGCCTTTGCAAAGATTGAATAAAGCATACACTCAAAAAAAGGGTGGAGCTCACTCCAACCTTCAAAAAGAGAAATCTGGTCCTCTCTTCAGCTTTCAGAAAGAGAGGGAAGTCCCCCACCCCCAATTTTTTCGAGGTAACAGAAGAGAGCCTCCTTCTATCAGAGAGCTCGTTTACCTCTTGGTAAGTCGCCGTTTAGTCTTAAGAAGATTGACGAGTCCTCGCTCCTAGCAAGAGAGGAGGGAGCTCCCCTAGAATCCATAAAGCAAAATCCTCTACTTCATCCTCGACACGAAGAGACTGAGGGCTTCCTCCAATCTAATGAGAAAGAAGAGAGCTCCACCGCAAAAAAATGACAGACAG